AACTGACTTGTATGTGCCCATACCTCTGCTCAGTGCCCTTGCTCAGAACAGATGTTTAAAGACATCAGGAAAGAGGGATTGCACAGATGGAATTTGAGCATTAGACCTCATCTTCCCTTTCTCTTTCTTCTGTTACTTGCTGTGCTTGGAGTACAGACAGACTCAGACTAGTTCTGGGAGGCAGCTGGTGCTGGCACTTCACCTGGGCCAGGTGCAGGCCGGGGGAAGGGGATTCCATGACTTTGGGAAAAATGACTTAATCCCTTATCCCAGACTCTGCTGCCAGCAGCCACCTTCACAACAGTGACCAAGCAGCAATTCTGAGCTGTCACTCATGATTGTAATCAGCCTAAGTTCTTTCCAGTGCTCCGGAAGTAACTAACTTATTCTGGTAACAAACTCTTTGGACTCTAAACAGGTGGGTTTTGTTTCATACTATGTACTATCCTGAACTTCCCCCTTTCCTCTGCAGCCTGCCTCTTGCAACTGTATCCGAAACTGGCCTTGTCAGCCTTCAGCAGCCCAAAGATCCAGCTCCTGGGCAGCACAACAGACCCATGTACTCTCAGTGCGGGGGGAAGGGAGCCAGGGCTGCCTTTGGAATTTTTTTGGTTACTTGACAAAGCTTTATGTGATTCTTGGGAGTGGGGTGGAAATGTAACTGCACTTTGAAGGATGATGTGTTTCACTTGTATGTGTCTGAAGGTTTTATTTATTTAAAAAAATGGGAGAAATAAGTAAAAGGAAACTACTTAATAAACATGCTTTATTTTGAATTTCTCGACTCTAGGGGTTCTAGTTTTCCATCACTTTACTTTCCTTTTCTCCCATTTTGGTAAGGAGAGCATTAGATGGGTGGAATCCCCGATTCTGTGCCCCTGTTTAAGTTCTTGGGACGCACATCAGGAATAAAGCTATCACCTGGCACTGCCTTGAAGCTGTAGCCCTAATTCTAAGGAGAAAACAAAACATGGTGGGAGGATAGAGTCCCCTGAAGAAGCAGCAAAGCAAATCTCTTAGGTGTGCAAGTGATGAAGTGAACTGCACCTGGATATTCTGCAACTGAATTTGCCTTTCAGGCAAGAAATACCTGTCCTTAGGATGGTTAGCTTCAGCAATGGAGTTTTAAGGAAAACCATCACAGCTATGTGATCCAAACACACAAGCCTGGGCCAGTGCCCAAAGCAGCATACAGCACCTGCCTGTCATGATAAGAGATGCAAGCACAGGAAGGCAGTATCAATTTTTGGGTTTGTCAACAGAGTTCATTTCTTCTGTGTCCAAGGTACACCAGCATGGTAGAGTGAGCTTTTCTTCTAATGCCAGAAGCAGGTTAAGTGTGGTTGTTTTTGTTTTTTTTTTTTTCCCCCCAACTGTTCATGTTTCCATATAAAACTGAAAAAAGCATGCACAGACTTAGTGCTTTCCTGTAAACCCACCAGGGGAAGATGGAAACTGTTTTTTTGAACTCCTTTTGTTTGAACAGCACTAGTGTTGTCTGTTACTGGCACAACAGAAGCAACATGGGCTCCCAAGCTCCTGGCTGCATGGGTTTGTGTACATACTGTATCTGTGTAAAATGCTGTATATTCCTTGGAGAGAGACTAAGCCTTTTGCAGTGTTTATGGCTGCTCAGGCTATTCATAAATCTGTATCATAACTAATGGGGGCAGGGCTGTGATTTAATACAAAGCATTATTATAAACAGGATAAATATTTATTGGGTGTTCTGCTCTAGTACTGTGAAAGAGACAAGACCAGTGAAGAAGGTCTGCAGTTTGTTGCAGAGGTGACTTAATTCTGTTACAAATTTGCTTCCTGAATAAACTTACTCAGATGGGCACTGACTAGATGTCTTTTTTTTCTGCATACATCACCTTGAAATTTGACCAGAAAAAGAGTGAAGAATGAATTCTTTTTTAGAAACACCTGCCCTGGTGTTGATGCCCTATTTTACTTGGCTTTCATGAATGTTTTCCTGTAGACAAGCCTGAGACATTTCTCTTGGCTAGCACTTCTATCTAGACCCTAGGTTCAGATCCATTTTTTACCCTGTTTGCTTCAGGAGCATTTCCCTGACCCCACCTTTACTTGGACTGAACTAAGAGCAGGAACCACTACTCAGCTGACAGACAACAGCTCTAAGTTGGAGCAACTGAACCACCTCCGCACCTCTAGATTTGAGAAAAAGCGGAAAAATGCTTCTTAATGGCCATAAGCACTGAACAGCAGCCAAGAGCTGTTGTGCTGGAAAGAGGACACTTTGCTTGACAAGGCTGTAGCTCAGTAGACTGAGTTTCTCTTGCCTAGGCAGGGTAGCCAGTATTCTTACCAGAACATATTTAACCTATGACAACCAGCAGATGAGAGGTTTCTAGTTCTTCAAAATAAGGCTCTAATATTTACTTGAATAAATACATAGTTTTGCTTTCAAAAATACAATAGTATTTAAGAACAACCCTATATATAACATCAGTGATGAAAAAAAATACAGGGGAGGGCAAGCAATGGTTATTGCCTCAGTTGCGTAGAAGCTGAAGTTACAACCCATAAAAACATGCAAGACAGATAGCTAGAACATACACAGAAGGAATCACTAGAGACCTAGTCTATTCCCTCAACCCACACCAGTATCTACCACAAATAAAGTCTCCAAGGAGATTTAACTTACTAAAATCTTACTAGGGTACCAGGGAGACTCCACAAGTACCACAGCCAGCAGTGGCCAAGAGCAATCAGGGCTAAATCTGTGTCACTGATTAAGTCAGCAACTCCAATGCTCCTGGTCTCTTCCTGCAGAAGTGCTGGAGCCCCATTACACAGGGGTTTAAGGAATCCATTGCAATCGTTATGATGACAGTGCTAACTCCAGGAATTACAAAGAAATGCAGTTGTCACTGAGAAGCAGCAACCATGACTGAAGACCCATAGCACCCACTGTTTTAGCATAGAGATGGTAGAAACAGGTTTATCCAGTTTATACTAGGGGAAAAATCCCACTTTAGCCTAAAGGCAACTTCCGAGTAGGAGCTGCCATGCATGTTAGACTGCACTTCAGATACGGGCCTGAAAGACACCACATCCCAGAGAAACCACAACTCAACACCTGCTTACCATGTTCCACAAACACCCTGGCCAGAAACACCTTTTTAAGAGCAAAGCCATTTTGTGTGCTAAACTCCCACCTCCTGCATGTCCTGAAGGACCTCAATGCATTTTCCTTTACAATGGAGAAAGTGAGTTAAACTTCCACATCTGACGAGCTGGTTCACTCTACTGCAGCTCCCGGATATCACTGTTGATGCAGATCTGTTCCACCTTCCCTATTAGGGATACCATCTGCTTGCATGTATAGCTTTTTTAAGCTCTATGGGATGAAAAGATTAGGTTATGGTTATTCACAGTTTGAAAATGACCCAGAGAAAGAGCAAGAGAAAGAGAGATGGCTTTATTCTAGTCATGGAGATCTTCATTATACAGAAATGATAGTTTATTTCATCCAATAAACAAGAGTGACAGGTAGATCACAAACTGCATCACAGCTACTACCAGCACTGAGACAGTTCACCCACAAGTCTGGGGTAATACAATAACCCAACTGCACACAGCAGAGAATTTAACAATCAGCTCAAAAACTCAACATCAGGATTTGGTTAACTTTTTGGATGTGTGTGTATATATATATGTGTATATAGATATTCTTAAAAAAAGTATTTCCTAAAATCCACATGGAAGCACAAATGGCTTTAAACACTTGGACATATATAGATTTTTCATCTTTTATATATATATTTATAGATATTTATAACAGTAAAGATACATTTCTCATTACTACAATATACTCGTTTAACTCCTTTAAGCAGCTGGGAAGGAAAAAAACCAAACAACCAAACAAACCAGTTTCACTGCAGTCACATCTGATATGTGTGTGTCACGAAATACGAACAAAACAAGCCATGTGTGAGATTGGAGTCAGACCATTCCAGGACAGAACAGCTAAGAGGCAGGCAAAGAGTCTCAGAGGGAGCAGGACTACATGTCAAATGGTGGTTTTGGGCTCTCTGGGCGGGAGGGACTGGCCTTACCCGGCCGGCTGGAGTTTAAAGACAAGAAAAAGAAAAAAGGAAAAGGGGAAGGGAAGGAAGAGGGGGAAAAGTAGTAAAACAATAGTTAAAATACAGAAAGGAACTGGCATCAGAACAATAGAGGATCCACAACAGAAATTAAGAGCAATAGCACTGAAATAACATAACTTAAATCTGAATCAGGCCCAGCTGAAAGCCTGCAACACAGGTGGCTCATTTAGCTCTGGTAGAGACATGACATCTGAGATGTACAGGGTTGATATATTTTTAATTCTCAAGTTGTTTTTTTTTTTAATACATGTAGCATGAAAAGCAAAAACAAACCTTAAGAAGATGAGTTGAGATCAACAACGGTTACAAGTTTCCCCAAACACGTACCATCCACATGCAAGAAAAGGCTACGGAAGAAGTCACCACAGTACCCAAAAAACACTGAAAGATGTGCTTATTCAAAGCAGAAATATTTTTAACAAAATGTTACACAGCAAACTCCCTGAAAACATTTGGTTGTCCATTTGCAAGGGGGGAGCAGCATTATCTATTCCCCTCTCCCTGCTGGGTTCAGGGAAGTCAGCCAAAAGGGACGATGCAGGGCAACTGCTGGCAGGAGCCAGTGTCACCAGCAGCATCTCCCCAGCTCTTTTGGGGAGCTAAGTGCGAGCAGGTCCGTGTGCTCCCTGCACGCTGAGGTGTGTGCGCTATCTCGGACTTCACTCTAGCAGGACTGTGCTGATCCATTGAGTTCCCCCCTTCTCCATCTCCCTGCCTCACTCTGAGATAAGGTTGATTGCACTGTTCCCAACACGAATTTTTGCACCTTAGAAGTCAAACTAATACACAGGACATTTAATCTGTTCCTAATGGTGTCACATGTTTTGACAGTATTTTTCTTCTAAGTCACACTTCTGTCTTCTTAACTACAAGAAAAGAAAATAGCTACAGATCAGTCCTAGGTGCTACAGCTAACTGATGCAGGCAGGACATTTATCCAGGCTAGACCAGGCAGATGAAATTCCTGGACGGACAGCCACCACTTGGACTTAAGGACGTCCCTGCGGCTGATCTCTCCAAGGAGCCTGGGTACTTCAGGGATCCATGCCACTGAATGAAGGCTACTCTACGCTCACAAAGCAATACAGGACGCACGAGTGAAGACGAAGAGCTCGATCACTAGGCTAGTGTTTTACGACACACCAGGAAGGGGCGGTGGGAGGCAGAGATGTGGGATGGATGAGAGGAGTGACTGTGGCTGTGGAAGGGAGGGTGGAATGGGGAAGCCGCCAGCACGGCGTTCGTTGCCAGCTGTCTACAGCCTCAAGTTATAAATCTAAGAGGGACGGTTCAGCCGGTCGGATTATGGTGGGTCGAGTAGGTGAGGCGGGGCCCCTTCTGCTGTGAAAAAGCAGAAAACAAAAACAAGAGAACACACACTGTGGTTAGCACAGCAATCGCAGTCACAATCACACATGCTTCTCCACCTCGCCTGAGCCAGCAAGAGAATAAAACTTGAGGCACAAACTACCACCAGAGTGCAGCTCCAGGAAGGAAACTTACAGGTTTCTATCAGGCCTCGCACTGGCCTTTCTGCACAGCATGGATCACCAACAAAGTAATCTGCTGGACAGCCAGTTTGGTTCTCCCTCTGAAATTTGGAAGTGCAGAGATTCGTTGCCAGTGAATGCACTGGCTCTGGAATGAGAGTTGAGAAGCATGGACAACAGTGAGCTCCTATATCAAGCACATGACAGTCACACAGCATGGATGGGGTCCTCTGAGATGCGCTGCTGTCAGAGGTTCTTGGCTGGTTTGGAGGAGCACCTTCTTCCCCTGCCCTGGAGGCTACAGCAAGCCTGAGACTCTCTATTCCCATACATGATGCTGATCTTTGATGTTAGGGGAAAGCTTGCTGCTTTCAGTTCTTTAGTTCTGGTGCTCAGCAAATGCAGCTTCTACTTCAATGAAACACTTTGGCCACAGCTACTCCATTCTGTTTCAGTGCTTTTGCTGGTACTTTAGCTAGGTAAGTGGGCAGCAACTTAAGTGTTTGCCCTCTGCATGGATTAAGTGTTCTAGGATCTCCTTACTGTAAGGGACCGGGGAAAAACAAAACTCCAGAAAATACAAGATAACACCCCTGCCATCTCTCTGAACTCATTACTTGAAAGACCACTTCAGACTCAAACTACAGGCTTTATGAAGTCTACAAATAAAAACCCAATGTGTTCTGTAAGTCAGTGAGACCAATCTATGTTGCTCTTCTAAAGCATGCCCCCTGCAGCGTCTGCAATCTAAAGGGCATCACGATGGTGTATCAGAATAATTAAGTTGTTCAGCATCAAGCCAGAGCACTTTTATGGCCCAAACTGCCTGAAATGCAAAGAGTGAACCCAACAGGATGTAGACCAAGCAGAGAGGGAGTATTTGCACAGGTGTCACAGAATTAATGCCTGAACAATCCCACATTGACAAGCTTTACTTTGGATTACTGAGAATCAAGTGACTGCTGGAAGTGAAGGCCCTTCCCTAACACAGGGGCTGAGGGAAGAGGGGGATACTTGCACAAGTAGTTTTCCGAGGTAGGGAAGCCTTTGTTTTGCTCTGACTGCAAGTCTATAATCATGCTGGTACCAGAGGAGCTATAGTCCCATAAATTGGGGCAAGCTCTCTCATCTTTGCAAATCTGCCAGAGCAAGTCTACGGTCCTGTTTATTAGACCTCAGCAGAATTTATTGCTCCATATTTATTAAGCCCCAGATTGCAAAACAACTACAACCACTTGTTCCTTGCCTTGGGAGACAATACATAAAAAAGCTTCAGACACTAAAACATTTCCAAACTTTACTTCCTTGATTGAAAAATGTCAGTGGGGACTGCAAGACCCCATTGTCAGCATGCCAATCACATTACTGTTCCTGTACGGCTAATAATGACGGGATTGAGCTAACCTGGAAATCGCAACCACCTTGGAAGGATGCTGAAATAATACCATCTCCCAGAAGCAAAACCTGCTATGAGATGTAGCTGGGGAATCTGCAAACCTGAGCTTCATGACATGTGGGATCTGCACATTATCTCCAAAGGGTGCTCCTAGTGTAAATGCAACCATACCAACCATTTGACGGCTACTACTGTCACTGGAACAGTAATAGCACTTGAATTAAAACCTTACAAAACTTCAGCTCAGCCTTTATCGAGATGCTGTTGCACTGCTATATGTGTTAGAAGGTGTGGTTTGTTTTTTTCTTTTCTTTTTTTTTTCCTTGGAGAAGCTTGAAGGACTTTTTGCATTTCAGGAGTTTGGACAGGTTGTCCTAACAGCCTCTGTGGATTTACATGAAAAGGATGCTTGAAGTCACTGGACTATGTAATGTGTTCAGCAAGAGAGGTCACTTGACCCTACCAGAATAAACAGGGCTGAAAGGAGCACAAATGATTTGCAGGTAGATGGGCTGCTTTTTTGTAATGTACTATGATTGATTTTTGCAGACATTTACATTTCTCTCAGCACTCAGAGCATTTTAGGGGGAGGAGCTGTCACTTTTTAAAGTTACAGGTTTTGTCTCTGCTCAAGTTTTTTGGAGACACTTGCAGAATCTCCCTGGTAAGGTTACAGAAGGTTGAAAACTGTTTCCCAGCACAAAAAAGGGACAGAGAAGTCTCTCAAGCAACATTTATCCCTGCAATGCTGCTTCGGTCTGTCTCACTACATTGCTAGCCAAGCCCTTTTACACCACTGAAAAGTCACTTTTCTGTCAGGACAACAAGGAACAAAAAAGTTTTGCCCACAGGGAAGCCTGTGGCAGTCTCCAGTACATTAGAGTAAGACCTGAGACCTGGCAGGAACTCGAGAAGACCCGTTACACTGACTGTTGCGTCCCTTGAAGTCAGTCTTTCAAGCCATATCCAGACAGAACACTGAGATAATCATCTAGAAACCAACGGGCTGAGAGAGTTCTGTTGATAAGGACTTAACAGAGATGGCAAAACACTACGTTTATTTGTTTGCACTGCAAAAGGTTTGGAGTGGGGTTTTTGGGGTTGTTTGTTTTTTGGTGGTGTTTTGTTTTAATTTTTATTTCCTTGGTGCTCTTTATGCCAGATTAAGAACAGAATGCCCCATAACAGTGAGTCCCAGAACGAGGTACAGACAACAGCAAGCCTCCTCCCTGACGTTGTTCACCAAGCGGCATGTTTCTAGGGCTGCCAGGGATGTCTGCAGTAGGCAGAGTACTGGAGGAAACTGCTGATTGCTCCAACGCCTCTGCAGTACGTCATCAGTGACGAGGGTTGACGGATGACATCCTCAAAGATGATGCCAATCACTGAACAATCACTGCACTGGTTTGATGTGATGTGGCACCTCTCAGCTCTAACAGCAGTTACATACAACAGTAACAGACACCATCTGCTGCAAGATGGGGGCCTAGCTGTGAACCCCCCTGCCCTGCAACAGGAGCTTGAACTTCTGCTATTCTTAAGACAGGACTTAAGCTTCCCCAGCGCTCTGCCACAACCAGCAGCAAGGGAATCTACAGGAGCTGCTGCTGCTCCACTCCTCTCAGTCAGACCTTTCACTTCGAGAGACAATATCCACAGAGAAAGGGAGAAAGGGCCCAGAACATCCACACCTGCCCTGTTCTGTCCTCTCTACCCCTTCGTCACCTTGGCTGGAGGTTCCCAGGAAAAATATTCAGGAGAATTTGCCAGGTCTCTGTTCACACCACCCCTCACTCTCAGCATTAACATGACAAGGAAGAGTTGTTGCACCAGTGCAGTACACGTGAGCCTGCTCCAATATCCTGCTACATCACTGAACAAGTACAATGCTGCAAAACACAGGAGAGATAGGAAAGGGGAACAGGCAGGAGCTCAGGCCAGGGTCTTTGTGGGGATACGGATCACTAAACCCTTCCTCTGGCAGGGGCACAGGAGAGAAGGCAGACTGAACGGGAGCAGAAGAGTAACCTAGAAGGTAAAGGTTCAAGTGGAGAACAAGCAAAGGGCGTTCACTTCACACACAAGGATAACAGGGAACATTCAGTGTCGGTTACTCTGCGCTCAGACATGGAAGTCCTATTTTTTAACAACCCAAGCTCCTTCTGCCTTCCACAAGCACTAGGGACACAGTGAGGATGGGAGCACTTCTCCAGCCAGATATTAGAATATAAGAAGAGGAGTCTGAACTAACAGCTCCCCAAGTCTCTATCTTGATCCTAACAGAGCTGACAAACCAAATCAAAACAGTTCATTCAGCTGATCTCCCAGTCAGTGCGGATATAAGCCAGATGAACGACTCACACAGTTTAGACCTTGTTGCCAGAGCTCATTCCCCCATCCCACCTCCTCTATCTAGAAGCAGAGAAAGGGTCCTCTAGTGACCTTAAGTCAGGTACTGAGGATTTCCCAGCTCAGGCAGCTGCTCTGTCTCTGATCGGTCAGTTTTTCCGTTCAAGACTCCTCCCTTTACGAGATCCTGGCAGAGGTGGTTCATTGGACAAGGGACTCTGTTACTAACACAAGAACTAGGCAGCAAAGGTGAGCTGCAGAGCAAAGTAATGGAGGATGGGGACACAGTGACTCATGCATTGCAGGGAGAGTGCAAAACGTACCGTGGCTGCCAGTCCTCAGGGGTCACTGATAGTGATTCTGAAAGACAACATGAAATCAACATGGCAGTTCAGACAGTTCAAGGCAGAGGCCACACAGACTGTCAGGAAGGTGGAACAGAGACACACATGCTTGCACAGTCACGCATTCACACGTCCCTCTCCAGAACACAGCACTCGTGTGCACTGCTGGGTAGGGCTGGACTCTCACACATGCAGGACTTCACACACACAGTCACAGCCTCGACTTTGCACACATCCAGAACCCTGTTGTGCACAGGGGTGCATCAAAAACCACCTATCTGTTCGCAGACCTACTGGCCTATTGCTCACTCACCCATTAAGCAAGCTTGCTCACACATCCAGGCTGACGTTCATGGCTGGTGAACCAGCCGGATATCTAGGTCTCA